AAACAATGAAATTTAAAAAATGTCAACTCTCAAAGGCCAGTCAAATAACTGAAAGTAAATAAATAAATGATGATCAGGTTTTAGATGGACCTGCCAGCGCCTCCCTGAGGGCAGGAGTTTAAGACGTGGTGCTCGGGGTGTGATGGGTCGTTGGTGATGCTGCGGGCTCTCCGGAGGCAGCAGGTGGTTGGATTATTTAAATCCAAATAATCTACTGCTGGCCACGGTCTCAACTCAACATTTATACTTCCATGTGAAAATTTCTGCAAACAGTTGCACAATTATGCAAGCGTGCATCTTTGAAAAGCATGAGTGGAGCCTCCTGCACATCCAACAAGAATGCAGCAAGTGGTTTCTGGATGGAGACGCAACAACAAAGCACTTGTTCTTTCTAGCAGCCATTGCACAGCGCATACAGCAGTAACAGCAGTTGGATTGCTAGGTAACAAGGCTCGGCTTAGCTGGGGTTGCTAGGTAATGGTGTGACTTAACAACTAGAAGGTTTTTGAAACAGCTCTTTTTCCAGACACCAGAAAACATTAATTTATCAAACAAAAAACAGCCGGGTGTTTATTTTTAAGCGGTTGGTCTATTTTTAGGAGCAGTTTGAACCCAAATGGAAATACAAATATATGCAAAATATGACTTGGACAGATTTTGTGTTTTTCAGAATCAGAATTCCTTTAATGTCACTTTGCACAAAAAAACACAAGTTTGTTTTTTTCCATCAGAGTGGAAAAAAACAGCTTATGACTAAGTTATATGGTAAGTTTGAGATGATAACAATCTCATACTTATCATATAGCTTAGTCATAATTATGAGAGAAGTCTATTTTTTGTCATCAGAATGGCAGAAATGGGCTTCCATACATTTGCAATATTGTGGATTCAAAAACATTTGGGAAGAAAATATAACTGTATGCAATTGAGCTACAGTTCTCATAGTTGGTGTGGAAGAAAATAAATGATGACTGATGGAGCAGGAGGTAATTATCATCAATTATCATGGAAAATATAAAATATAGCAAAATGATACATATAATAGCAGAAATGGGCTTCCAATTCTAATGGTATGTACATAATACATACCATTTGAATTCAAATTTTCTTTACATTTATTAATTCGTTTTATTGTATTTTAATGTCATGTCTGCTTTGGTCCACATCAGTTGTTCTTAAATCTACACATAGATTTGACTTGAAGTAAGTAATAAAACTCAAACAGTGACCAGATTTTTCCTGAAAGCTTGATAAAAATGATTTGTTATAACATCTGCATTTTTCTGCACCAAGGCTCTAAACATTTCTCTCCTCAGCGACCTGAGGCGGCCGCTTCTGAAGTACTTTGTCAGTGTTGTGACACTCACAAGACTCTCTCCTTCAGCACTTTGAGTGAAATTAAGTTTTTCCTGCATTTTAGACAGTTAATTATACTCACAACTAATTATCAACTGGCAGTGCCACTCAGATAAACTCAAAGTGAGTCGCAGGAACAAATCAGGAGCAATTTTTCTTCTGCAAACATCTTTTCCTGGCAGCAATCAGGCGGAGATCAACCTGATGCATTTAAAGTAATTTACATTACTGCCTATATCCTCTTCCTGTAACATGTACAGTCGAGTTTCTCTCTTTTCGCCTGTTTTGCCTCCATTTTCTCTCTCTCTCTCTGTGCTGCTGATTAAGAACACAACCTGTTGTTGTTGCACCTCTTTCCTGATTACCTGCTATTTTTTCCTCCTTCCTCCGCTTCATCTCTACCTCTTTTTGGCCTAGCTGCTTGCTCAACCACACGTTGTGTGTGTGTGTGTGTGTGTGTGTGGCAATGCATGGCAGCCTAACGAGTTTGATGGCTGTCACCTGATCTCGGTGATGAGGGGCTGCTGTAGTAGCGAGAGGAGAGTTAGGTTTCTCCGCTGTAATTAGTTTTCCCAGCCTCTAATTATACGAGACGGAATTACAAGCCTGATTGACTGTCCTTTAAGCATTTTAATTCACAGAATTACCCTTTTTCTCTCTCTTTTTTCAAGAAAAAGTGGGAGAGTTGTTGTTTTGACAGGCGAGTGTGTTGGGATGGTCACCGAACATTTTCATGGATGAAAACACTTTTTTAAAATTGGAAAACATGCTACTATATATGATAATATGACAAATATTCTCACATTATAACCCAACACAATTCCCAAAGCAAAGTGCAGGTGCTTCACTGCTGTGTTTGATTCCCGCCCCGGTCTTTCTGCATGGAGTTTGCATGTTCTTCCTGTGCATGGTGGGTTTTCTCCAGGTACTCTGGTTTCCTCACACAGTCCAAAAACGTGACTGTCAGGTTAATTGGTTTCTCTAAATTGTGCATTTTTTGGTTGTCCTGTCTGTCTCTGTGTTGCCCGTTGACTGAGTTCAGTTATACATTCATGCCTGCATAAACGAACCAGACTTTCTAGACAGACGGATTGGAGTTTGATTAAATCTGCAATCAGACTCTAATGTGGGCCAAAACAACTCTGGTTTCCTTCGGTTCGGTTGAAGTGAACTCTGGTGCAGTTCGGATGCATATGTAGCCCAAATACCTCTCCAAAAGCAGAAAGTGGACTTCAGCGCATGGCATTCTGGGTAAATACAACCAAAACAAACATGTGTGTGTCTAGTGCTAACAGGAGAAACAGCTTGTGAGAAACTAAAGACAAAAAAGAAATCCTACAACTGCTAAAATCTGAAGATCCTTCCTTGTTTTTTTTACATTTTATGGAGACAGAAGTTGCAGTGTCTTATTCAGAGGTTTTTGTGTCTTTTCCTTCAATAGTTTTTGGTGCAGCGCCCCCACAGGTGAGGAGGGGAACAGGTTTTTCAAAGGGTTTGGTTTGTTTCACACAATGGACTGTGAAAGAAAACCACAGCAGCTGAAAATGTAACAGTTGCTGCAATTTTGATCTCAAATCAAACTATCAGACTATGAGGTGTGAAAACAGATTGAACCTCAGTGCGACAGCAGAAATCAGATTTTTCTTAAAATGGAATAAAACAACTTTTGCTGAATATTGAAAAAATGAGCATTGAAATAGAAATGATTAATTCTTTCACCAAAATGTTTTTTTAAAGATTACAGCTTGTGATGAGTATTTCCTTTTTTATTTGTGTTAACTGAATAAAGTGTTTTGTCTTTGCCTCCATGACCTGAACTCTCTCTGATCTCGTTAATAATCCGGCCGACTGAACCGAACTCGCTGCTTCCAGCTCTTCTTCTCTTCTTATCATGCTCTTGTCAGTCTTTTCCTTTTCTGTTTTCCTTTTGTTCTCGTTTCTTTGCTCTCCGTCCTCCTCATCCCGTCTTTCCGCTCGGTTCTATCTTTTCCTCGGTCTGTTTCTCATTCTCGCTCCCTGCAGACTTCTGCCTCTGATAGGGCAGCAGCCTCTCAAACTATTAACTCTGCAATCCCTTAATAACAATCTCAATCCCTCCATCCCTCCCTCCTTGTGTCTTTCTCTGAAGCAGTTCATTTGATCACTTTATTCGAACCTCCCATTCATGGGGCTCAGATCACACAGGGGGCTGTAATGACAGCACATTTATTAATTAATTGCATGTGTAATTGCTAAAATTAAGTTTTGGAAACTTGGTAATGATGTGAGGAATTACAGGGGACGGGCTTTGAAGACGAGCTCCCCCTCTAGTTCTTGTGGGGAAGGATGGATAGAAAGATGGAAAATAAAAGCGGGGGGAGGAATAATCCAGGAGGGGAGAAGTGCAGAAGGGACCGCCGATCAGAGCCCAGAGTTTTGTCTCTGGGCTAATCTTCTCCTCTGAAGTGGTGTCATGGCCGTCACTCCGCTCTTCCCGGCAGTCCCGATCTGTCCGTTGTGTGGCTGCAAATTCTCTCCATTGATTCAGACTGGGCTACTTTAATTAACTTCCTCCCTGAGATAATGGCTAGCTCAGAGGAATCTGCTCTTCGCCAAAAAAAAAAAAAGAAGAAAACTCTGAGAAAACTTTTCCCTGCATCTCCAGAACGGCTAAGGCGGCGCCTTCCGCTTTGGCGTAATTTATTTTCTCTTATTGTCGAGACTTTGTCCGAAAAATTAGATTTGAACATGAGTGGTGAATTGTTTATTGTCTGGGGTATTCCAGAGCAGATGTAAGTCCTGGGTCTCTGTGTGCCGAGAAGATAGGAACAGACTCCATTATGTGTTGAGTGTGTAATTTGACTGGATGGACGTGTGGATGGGCAAAACGTCCTTGGAGGGATAAATGGTTTATCACACGTGTGAACTGTTGAAAAGAAGATAGCAAGAAATGGAGGGAAGAAAGAGGTGTAAATATAGCACATTTTACCCATCGAGCTGTGCAAAAGTTATGGACATTAAAGTATGTGAATTTTCTAAAAATAGATCTTTAAACTACTGTTCAAATAATATTAACAAATAGTGATTTTAATTTTCCCCTTTAAATTTGACTCTTTGCGATATTAAACAAACTTTATTTGATAAATAGTTAAGAAATATAGCATTTTTACTGTACATTACTGCACAAAATTACTGCTGTAGCATACGTCATGTACCCAGAATGCATTGCAGTGTAAACAACATGACATTTTATTTAAACATCCAACTACAACAGCGTATTAAGGCTTCTGAACACAAAAACGAGAACAATTTCGCAAAAAAAAAAAATCTAGAAAAAACAAGGGAATGTCTGAGCTCCAAAAGTAAAAAAAAGATGATAAAATAAAAAAGCCTGAAAAAAACTCTGAAATTTTTAGATTAATATCAGAATGTGTGTAGAAAAAAACGTGGCAAATTCTGAATTTAAACAGTAAAGAAAAAAAGTAAAAATTTTACTCTTGAAACTCAAATGTACATGTTTTGTTCTGGAAAATTTCTGAGATTAATTTAAAAAAAAATTATGAGTATTTTGCGGTAATTTACTCTTCGTTTCTATCTACAGTGACCCTAATGCACCATCGTAGCAGGCTGTTTTGTTTTTATAAGATAAAATAAAAATCACATGCAGGTCGCCATGTTGTTTACGTTGCAATGCATCCTGGGTATACCTAAGGTATGCTAGGAGCTACGAAGCTAGCTCCGTTCGGCCAGCACAGTAATTTTTGCGCACTGAGTGACGTTCAGTCCTTCAGTTTGAACCGGAGTGAGTTGAAATGGAAGACGAAGCAGAAACGACACGGAGAAATTAAGATGCGAAGCTGACCGGCTTGATTAGGCTGGTAAGTTTCACCTGTCGGTGTGTCGAGCAAACCAAGAACGGGGAATTGAGGAGACTTGAGGATACAGGGTTTGATGTTTGGGAAAAAGAAAAGGTGAAACGCTGAGGAAACAGGCACAGGACTGAGCTGTTGGGGCAACCAGGTGAGAAACTGTTAGCATGAATTCCAGGTGAGCTAACCATACCTGTCTAAACCAGTCTGTACAGTTGTTATTAAGCTAACTGCACCGTTTTAAATCTGGGTTTTTTTTGGCCACTACCTCGAACAGTAGCTTATAAAATGAGGAAGTGTAAATACTTACATGTTTGACTAGGGCCAAATTGTTATAAAAGAGAACTGGGTCAAGTTTAAGTTCAACTTTATTCCTATAGCAGAATTCAGTCATCAGTTATAAAAACAAGTAATAAACATTGTACTTTGCCAAATGCCATTATCAATACACATCAGATAAATTGATCAATGTTTTGTAGTTTTCTGGAAGTTTGTTCCAGATTTGTGGAGCATTGAAGCCGAAAGGGGCTTTTTGACGTTTGATTCTGGTTCTGGGGCTGCAGACCAGAACCAGAACCAGATCCAGAAGTCAGTGTAAGAACTTCAGAACCGGGTGATGTGCTCTATCTTCCTGGTTTTAGTGAGAACATGAGCAGCAGCGTTCTGGATCCTCTGAAGTGAAGACTGTTGCAGTAATCAGTGCGACCACAGATAAATAAATGGATGAGTTTTTCTACGTCTTCCTGGAACTTTAGTCCTTTAATCCTGGAAATGTTCTTCAGGTGACAGAAAACTGACTGAGCCATTTTACAGAGGAGCGATGGAATCAACATGTTTTAATGACGCATTACGGTACAGCTGAAAAACCACCTTGTAACAGTGTTAAAACTTTTTGGTGTGTTTCCATTAGGCCTATTTATTTCTTCTACGTTTCTGCCAGTAGTAACATCCAGCTGTTAATCATGTGACTTGTATGATGTGAAAATAGTGTTTTTCTCGCAGTTTTTGCAGCAAAGAGTTACTCTAAACTGAAGCAGATTTTCTGTACCTCAAACAGAATCTTATTTAGTAATTTATTGTTTATTGTTTATTACTTATATCCTTATAGACTCTCCATTGGAGTCAAGTTTGTTCTCACATCATACATTAAACTAGCCAAGGGGTTAACGCTTTGGCAGTCCGTGTCGTTTACTGCTCTCGACCATTAAACCTCTCCAAAGGGAGACAACATCTCATCTCTCTGTCTCTGTTTTCGCTGAAAGCGGGCAGCTAATCCGCATCGGTGCGGAGGGCGGGGGGAAGAGCCGGCCGCTCCGATGTGAGGGCTTGTGATAGCAGAGACACTCGATCACATTTATCTGCGGTTTACACCTTCCTGTCTTGATCTCTGAGGTATACAGGGGATCGCCTTTCTGTCTTTAAAAAAAGGGAGCACATAACGGAGGGCAGAGGAGGGGAGGATGGATGAAGAGGAGAAAAGAGGCCGGGGTTCCCTGTGTGAATGCTGGTTGGAACTGTAAAGCGAGCCGAGCGATGACAGCTAAATGCGCTAATTTTCTGCTGGGACGCACACTTTTGTCTCGCAGGGAGGGCTCAGGACTCTGGGGGATCAATAACTTTTCAACATTTCAATGGTTCAGCTTCGACTTTGGCGACTAGATTTAAGCCTTTTTGCAGGACACCTGATGAGTATCAAGTTCCTGCCAATCAGAAAGCAAAACACTGTACTGCAGATGAGGGCAAGAAAACGGCTCAATGTTTCCAAAAATCTAATCAAAGCAAAGCATCGTATTAAAGCTAAAAAACTAATTTTACAATAATTGATTTTTTTTCTGTTCTACTCTGCAAAAACACAAAATATTGCCAGGTATTTTTGCCTGTTGGTACACTTTAACTAACCTACAAGTAAGTTTTCAGCAAGATATAGCAGCTTATTTTAAATAAATAATTCCTTAATACTGAAAAAGTTTTTCTTTTTTCACTCATAAAATGGGAAAATGTTAAGTGAAATGATCTGCCAAGGCACTAAGATATTTACAGTCGAATCTAGACCAAAAATATTTTATCATTTTGTGCTTTTGCTATGATAAAAATAACTGTCTTCATTAATCCTGCAGAGAGTTGTAACTAACTGAGTAACTAGTTACATTTACTTCAGTATCTTTTATGAAAAATACTTTTTGGAGTATTTTTACTATACTTTTGTACTTTTACTTGAGTAATTTTATTATGAAGTATTTCTAAAATTTCTGGATTTTTTCCCACCGAGTGAAAAACAAACATGTTTTAACCAAGACTTCACCAGACAGACACACACCTGATGTTTCTGTTTAAGTTTTATAAGTTTTTTAATGACAGAAACTGATTTAGAACATTTTTCTTTTGCCAGAGTTTTGTTATTGTTTATATGAATTATTGTCATTTTGGTTTTTAAAATACAAAAATTTCCACTTAACTTTATATTTTGGTCTGTCCAGTGTCATTTTTAAATATTAAATGATTGATAATTTGGTCAGTTACTCAGTACTTGAGACTTTTTCCCAAATACATTTTCTGTTTTACTTGAGTAAAGTTTTTGTGTACTCTGCTGGCCGCGCCCCCAACTCAACGTGGAAATGATCCAAAATGTCAGCTAAACATTGTGAGAAGATTTTATTTCCAATACATTTAACTCAGTTGATACAGTTTAAAATCAATTCTAGAAAATACCTTTTCCACTCTGGTAAATAAACGGCTTGATTACATAATTGAAAGCCCATATTTTATTTGACATTCTGGCTGGCAGCGTAGCAGAGATCCTTCAAATTACAGTGCACAACAACAAAGTAGTTCTTTCATTTCTTGCCATCTCAGCACTTTCTCTTCCTAACAGAAGCAAAAAGAGCAGAACTTTCCCTGAGACTGACAGCACTTTATCTCATTATCTTCAGTGATTCCCCTGCCTGAGGGCCGCCGTGTTGACGGATTACTACCAAACATCGGCAAACACAAGACCAGCTCAAAATTAAAGGAAAATGTTTCACAGAATGTTTTATTTAAATGCTGTTGTTCTTGTTGCTTACATTTATATCCGTCACTTTAACAAATTCTGCTAATGGTTATCACGACATGGCAATACACTGCAAAAACACAAAATCCAACAATGTAATTTTAAAACAGAAGCGACAAATAAAGTGAATTATGAAATCTCTTCAAAACAAAAATATTTCCAGACTGAAGACATTTGTCATCCAGTTTTTGGTGGAAAGAGAGAAAAGAGAAAAATAAGTAATGCAGATGGTAATTACTGAGCTTGTTTTAATTTATTATATGATTAACTGATTTACTGCGACAGGCCTACTGCAGTCTCAGCGGAGTACACCCTGCATACTTGTCCAATCCATTACAAGGCAGCACAGAAGCACACTAAACTCCACTGCATTGATGCTGTGCACTGCAGTTGGTAGTTAAGAAAATCTGAAAGTTAGTAATTTCACCATTGATGCTTCAGAAACCTGGCAACCTCTTTGAATCACACACTTCAGCTTTTTCTAGCTCAAATCCCACCATTTGGTTTTAAAACCACAGAAAATCGACCGTGGTATTGTTAGTTCAGTAGAAAATTGAAAATTAAGCTAATTGTCCAGTAATGGAGTCATGTTGGATTTCACCAAACTCCTGAAAGTGACCCATTCTTCCTCAGGTGTTTTTAGAAACACTGAAGGTTCTGGATTTTATACACCTGAAAGGTGATTAGTCAATATTTTAGCAGGATAGTGTATCAATTTAAGGTCAATCCTTTTTCCAGATCAAGAACAAATCATCTATATTTTTAACCTCAGCGGAACTCTGCCTGTTACCTAGCAACCCTAGCGGAACTCTGCCCGTTACCTAGCAACCCTAGCGGATCTCTGCCCTTTACCTAGCATCCCTAGTTGAGCTCCTGCACGTTTGGTCAGCTGGTTATACCGCTGTATGTGCTGTACAATGGCTGCTGAAAAAGACAAGTGATTTTTTTGTCGACTTACCATCCAGAAACTACTTACTGCATTCTTGTTGGTTGGGGAGGAGGCTCCACTTCTGCTTTTTGAAGATGTGAGTTGTATAATTACGCATCTGTTTGAGGCCATTTTCACGTGCGAGTGTGAGCATTGAGTTGGAGGGGTAGGAGGTTTGGCCAGCAGCAGCTTATTTAAATTTAAAGTGACAGAGGCCCTAAAATGGCTCATTCTCAAAGGAACTCAAAATCTTATTATCCAAGAATGATTCCGTGAAAATAAATGTAATGAACATGTTTTGTATAGGCCATAGACCTGTGAATCATATTTCAAGGAAGCATAATAAGTGTTGTATTTCCATTTAGCTCAAACACCAAACAATTTAGATGTTAGCATTGTAAGCTAAACATGTAAAAAAATCTGAATTGTGGAAATAATTTCTTTAACCCTTTATGACAAGTTTCATTTGATTTAACAGTCAAGGAAAAAGATTTGGTGCCTTTCTTTTGCAGTATAGGTAAATATCTGTAGTCATTTAGATTAAAGATGGAGAAAGTGGAGAAAACAGCTTTCTGTGAATTAAAATTGTTTTGAGTTCAAGTTCTGCACAATCCCAGTCTGTGTTTTTAAATCAGGCTGTTAACAATGGAAAAACTTTGAAAAATAAGCCAAACTTCAAGTTCTGAATTGGCAGAAACCTCCAGACAGGTTCATCCAGACCATGCAGAGGCCATTTAAGGCTAAACAATCGGGCTCACACACACACACACACACACACACACACACACGCAGAGGGGGAAAAAAAAAACGGACAACGTAAAGGAGCAATAAGCGCTGATAATCCTCCAGGATCCTTCATGGGAACAGGCTCTCTCTTTTTTAGTTGTAATTATCCTCTAATATGGACTCTGATGTCGTCTCCGTTTCCCCCTCACACACACGCACACACGCACACACACACACACACACACACACACACACACACACAAGCATACAGTAAAGTTTTTGTGCACATCCACACACACATTATTGCTCTGTGCATCATTACACTCACTGTATAGCCTTACACAGGTAGAAACCTGAACGCTGTGTTAAGCTGTTTAAGACTCTTTTAGCTTCATTAAGGCAGACGGAGCTCGGTCAGACAAAGTCGCTTTCACTGAGGTCCGCGCCGTTTGGTCATGCTTAATTTAACTCGGACCAAATGTCAAGTCATTTTCAACTTTTACTCTGATTCTGCGCTGTTCTTTCTCCTCCTCTGCTCCATAATGCCAACAATTATCATACAAATATGACGCAGTTGGAGTGAAAATGTGCTGACAGGGATGTTTAAATCACACCTGAGCACAAAAAGTGCTCTGCCAGTGGTTTCACGTGACTTTTCCACCTGAGGAGAGGTTGATTGAAGACAGGAAAGCCGTCAGAACTTGGAGCTGAGGGAAATAATCTGTCAGGAAAACGCCTCGTGACTTGACAGGAGTCGGTATTTTCTGTCCGTGCGGTTGCTTTAATGTGGCTTCGCTTTCTGGCAGGACATTAAAATAGACTGAAGAGGTTTCAAATGAGTGTAATTACTGTATAATAAGATGAATTATATTAATTCAAAAGTAATTTTCCTCCTGCAACATTTATTCAAATGTAAAAAATAAAATTTTCTCTGCGTTTCTCTTTCTTGTCCTGGATTTTCTTAGAACTAAAATTCCAAATAAGCACTTGTAGACATTTTCTCTGCTTTCTGTAAAAGCTGGAAGTCCTCAGTCTGTTTTCAGCTACAAATAAGTTATTTACAGATGAAACATTGATTAGTGAGTTGTTGCTTCAAACCGCTGCTGTAGCGCTGGCCTGCCACCAGGGGGCACTGCTACTTCATGCGCTCCTGACGCAGCGCGGAAGAAACGGCTGAGTGTGGTGACAGTTTCTGACACAAAACAAAAACTGTGATTGACGGGAAATAAAATGTGGGACGAAGAAAAGACTTCTGTAAAGAAAACTGAGGTACATAAACACAAGATGTTAACTTCTCTTGGAGACATAAAAAATAAACTTTTTTTTGTTTCGCTGTGGGGCAATGTCAACTTCTTTGGTCGTTTTCTTTATAAATACACACTTTTATTTTTAATCCACAAAGTTTTTGATAGAGGTATCAAGCTGCAAAGCATAATAAATGTTAACTTTTCTCTTAGTGATCTTTGGGAGTTTAGCTTCAAAACAAAGTTGCCTCCACTTTGAAAGCTTATTTTTCCAATGTGATTTTTTTTATAATTTCTCTGGATTTTACCTTGGACTTGACCTCTAAGTTGCTTTCTCAGCCCTGAGTAACCTCGGCTCTCGTTTAGGACCAATCAGAAAAATAAAAAAATGCATGCTGCTGCTGCAGCCACAATGACTGACAATGGGTAAGACTGCACAATGAGCTGAAAAAGCGAGAAGATCAACTTTTGTGGCCCACTGCAAGGGGGTCAGAGGTCAGAAACACAAAGCCTAAAGGGGAAAAAATATCTAGAAAAGTCAACAGTTTGCTGTAGGAATTAACATGTATGACTAAAAAGTTAAAAACTGCATAAAATGAGGTAGAAGTGACCTTAAAAGTCTGAAAGTGAACATGAGAGAGAAGAAGAGTTTAGAGAAAGTTAAAGGTGCTTCGTACAAAGAATAATTAGAAAACAGTTGCTCAATTTTCAGATGATTTAGGATATTTCTAATCCCAAAAAGATTGTTTTACTCTTCGCTTTTAATAATTTTTGCCAGAACTATACATTCTAGGAGATTTATATTAAATATTACTATAGCAAAGCAATTGACATTAAATCACAGCGGATACTGGTAACAATTCTAACTTTTCAAGAAAATTTTAAAGGTTTTTAGGGCATTTTCTATTTATTCTTTCTATTTACTTCCCATATATTTTCACTTTGATTGGTAGATGACTTATAGCAGATTTAATGTCTTCCATTTTATCCATTTAAAATTTTCTTTGGCTGTTTGGAGGCATTGACCTGCTGAAGATCCAAACCTCCCAGTCCAAGTTTTAAGAAATACACTAATTTCCATACAACCTCTTCATAGCTCAAAACTTTATCAATAAATTAGAATATTTTGCTAAGTTGGCTTATTTCCATTAAGCAAATTTAGTTACGTAATTCCAGTTTGCGCAATTTTAAGGTCAGTCGCTGCATATCCTTTATAAATTTACGCGGAAAATGTGTTCCCATTGCAGTTTTGCAAAATCCACAAATTTCAATACAGCTGAAACCTCAACCTAGTGGAAAACTTTATTTAAAAAAACTAATGTGTTATTTTCTAAGTTGGCGTGTTTCATTCCATTCCATAAGAAAATTTATTTTGGTAATTACAATTTGTGCCACAAACCAAAAACAAACCGTCATCCTTCAACCACTTCCTGTCATCTTCTTTGTCGTTTCCACCAGTGGTAACATCTGGTTTTATTTTCATGTTTCCATGAAGCAAATTATTTTTTGTAATTCTGATTTGCACAATTTTATGTCAAATAGGAACACATCTGTTCTCTTAACGTTTTGTTGTTAAAACATTTTGTGGCAGCATTTAATGAGGTTCGCAGTCCGTTTCGTAAACAGATAAATCTTATCTGGTGAGCGACAGATGCTTTTAGGAAAACTGAAGCGCTAATTCCAGGTTTTCCTAAACTTTAATTAGAGTGGTCTTTTGTTGAAAGTTCAGAAGTTTAGGCATTATTCTGTAACCAATGATTTCAGTAAGTTTTGAAACAATGAGATTGAATCAAATTGACTAAATCAACTGAGATTTGCTCTACTGTGTTGTTTCCCTCTTCACATCTCCAACTGGTCACAAAGGGAATTGTTCCTTTCCACTGTCGCCACGTCCATCAGCGGTATGAGGGACTATAGAAAACGTTTTACTAGTTTGTGTTTTAAAAAGTCAAGTTTATTTGTATTGCACGTTTCAGCAACAACGCAGCACATTTTTTATGAAACCTAAAGTAACTAATATTACATTTTGTCAAGTGCCAACATCAGGAATAATCATCACAAAATAAATTAATCAATG